GCATAGGGAGAGGAAGAGAATCTCAAAAACACTGCTCACTGAAAACAGAGCCCGAGACAGGGCTCAATCCCAGGACCCTGAGATCATGGCCCAGGCTGAAACCAAGAGTCAGATGCTCAACCGCTCAACGGACTGAGGCCACCCAGGCGCCCCTATACAATGAAATATTATTTAGCCATAAAAAGAATGAAATCCTGCCATGGGCAACAACATGGATGGATCTAGAGAGTATAATGTTATGTTAAATAAGCCAAAGAATACAAATAGCATATGATTTCACTCATGTGTGTAATTTAAGAAACAAAACAAATGAACCAAGGGGCGGGGGGAGACAAACCAAAAACAAACAAACAAACAAACACAACAACAAAACCCCAGACTCTTAACTATAGAGAACAAGGGGAGAGGGGGGTGGGGCGATGGGTGAAATAGGTGAAGGAGATTAAGAATACATTTATCTTGGGGCGCCTGGGTGGCTCAGTCATTAAATGTCTGCCTTCGGCTGAGGTCATGATCCCAGGGTCCTGGGATTGAGCCCCGCATCGGGCTTCCTGCTCAGCGGGAAGCCTGCTTCCCCCTCTCCCACTCCCCCTGCTTGTGTTTCCTCTCTCGCTGTATCTATCTCTGTCAAATGAATAAATAAAATCTTTAAAAAAAAAAAAAGAATACATTTATCTTGATGAGCACTGAGTAATATATGGAATTGTTGGAGCACTAGATTGTACACCTGAAACTAATGTAACACTATCCTAACTACACTGGAATTAAAACACAATTTAAAAAAAGTAGGCAAATATATTCATAATCTTAGAGTGTAGAACTTTGTAATAATGATATACAAGACAAAAATCATGAAGTATTGAGAGTTCTGAATACCTGAAATTGTAGATGAAGAGGGGAAAAAAGTGGAATAAGACTAAATTAAAAAACTTTCTTCCAAACAAAATTCAACAGAAAAAAATTAATTGGGAACAGATATTTGGGGGGAGGGGGAATAGGAAGTTACTGTTTAATGGGGACAGGGTTTCAGTTCTGTAAGATGAAACAGTTCTGAAAATGGATGGTGGAAATGGTTGCATAAGAATGTGAATATACTTAATACCACTGAACTGAATACTTAAAAGATGGTTAGGAATGTAAATTTTATATATATTTTACCATAATTAAATGTAAAAAAATTTTTGGAAAAATAACTGTCTTTTTTTTTTAAGATTTTATTTATTTTGAGAGAGAGGGAGTGTGAGAGAGAGAGAGAGAGAGCATGAGCAGGGGGGAGGGGCGGGGGAGAGGGAGAAACAGACTCCCTGCTGAGCAGAGAGTCTGACATGGGGCTCAATCCCAGGACCCTCAGATCATGACCCGAGCCGAAGACAGATACTTAACCTGAGCCACCCAGGCACCCCAAAGTAACTGTCTTATGCAAAGGGATAATAATTTAACCTGTAAAGTTATTACACATTATTTTTAAATAGGTACACAAAAGCAGTCAATAAGCATTTTGTACAAAGACAATAAACAAAAAACCCCAAATATATAGCCACAAACATATTAAAAACATTTACTTTCCTAATAGAGATTTAAATTAAAATCAGGAAATACTGTTCACCTGTTAAATGATTCACCTGGCAATAATTAAAAAGGATAATATCCCATTGTTGTCAAGGCTGTATGCCCTCTCACATTATGGTGAGCATGATCTTTTTGGCAATTTAGCTCATACGTATCTTTAAAACACAGAGCAGTTCCACTTTTACGAAATTATCCTAAGAAAATATTCATGTTCACGAAGGATTATCAACACAGTACTGTTTACTAATAGTAAGAAAATGTAAAAAATAAAAAACAAAACCCTAAATATTGAACAATTAACTAAGAGACTGGTCAAATAAAATTATGGTACGTATCGGGGTGCATAGCTGGCTCAGTCAGTAGAGCATAAGACTCCTGATCTCGGGGTTGTGAGTTCAAGCCCCATATGTGTCATACAGCTTACTAAAAAAATTATTGTACATATCTATTCAATGGAATAACAGATTAAAAATCTTGTAGTATTTAATGACATGGAAAGATGTTCCTGGTATCCTGTTAAGTGAAAAACTGGTTACAAAACATTATCTGATCATTTTTTGTATTAAAAAAGGTTATATCTTTGTGCACAGGAAAAAGTATGGAAAGATATACATCAAAATGTTAATAGTCATATTCTCTGGATTATGAAATTATGAATAATCTCTATTATACTCATCAGCAGTTCATTATTTTAATTTGGCTATCAAAAAAGGAGGGAGGAATTATTAAGTGGGTCTTCTATCCCTCAGAAATGTATTTGGACATTCTGCCAGATAATTCCTGCTTTATATTCTATACTCTCTCCTGCTCCAGTAGAAGCCTATTCCCTGTGCGAAGAAGAGGTAATGAGAAAGAGTAATAACCAATGATCACCCTTGCAAGAAGTTGCCTAACACATTTTATCTACCACCACTGACTATTCTTAGGACAAGGGATGCAATCATCTCTTTCATTAATCATTCATTCAACAATGAACACCCTCTGTATAACAGGAATTTCTTTAGAAGTTTGCTTTTCTAGTACCCTTTAATGTGTCTATAGCTCTTCAAAATGATAATCAAGTAATTTCTATAAGGTAGGAATTTCACTCAAAAGATCTGAAAGATGAATGTTAAATGAATACCAAATAGCCAGCAATAAATTAATGCTTGAAAATGAATCAACAGTAACTTACCTCCAATGACTCCAACACACAAGTAAAGTTCCTGAACAGTATTACAGAAAGAAGCCGCAATCAAGCCACAGCCTGACAAGCAACCACCAGCAATCATGATTGGACGACTGCCATATTTATTCACCAGGATACTGCTGATAGGACCTAGGCGAGAACCAGAAATTTAGTAACACAGAGGAAAGGAACCAACTCCCTCATATCTACACAAGGCATTGATGCTAAATGACAAGTCCTTTAAAATAGATAAAAACAAAGACAATGGTAAGAATATTGTTTTCTACATTTATTTCATACTCAAAGGTGTATTGGAAAATAAAGATGCTAAAAAACATCATTGTGTATCTCATCTATAAATACTGGATGGGATTTTACTAAAATATAAGACTCTGGTTCTCTCCTTGATCTTCCTCTTATAAGGCAGAACTGGCTGAGAACACCTTGGTAATGGATGTTGATAGGCTTGTTGATGATCTAGGATATGATAAACATATTTAGTAAGTTTGCTCTGTTTTAATTTTTGGACAGGCACTCTGATATGATGATATTAGAGCATTATTTACACATTATCATAAATGTAGTTTGTGTCATATTTTTTAAAAAGAAAAAAACCCTGAAAAATACATAATTATTTTTTCCAAGTTTAAGTAGCTTTGCAATTAGGAAATCTAAATTGAGGGCACCTGGGTGGCTCAGTTCGTTAAGCGTCTGCCTTTGGCTCAGGTCAAGATCCCAGGGTCCTGGGATTGAGCCCCGCATGGGGTTCCCTGCTCCGCGGGAAGCCTGCTTCTCCCTCTCCCACTCCCCCTGCTTGTGTTCCCTCTCTTGCTGTGTCTCTGTCAAATAAATAAATAAAATCTTAAAAAAAAAGAAATCTAAATTGAAAACAAAAAACCGTTCCCAGTTATACCTAGACGTCTCAGGTACTGAATTGAATATTTCTTTAGAGTTAACCTGATTCCATGCCTAAATTACTGTTTCATGGTAGCAATACTGTGAAACAAAGCTTGCAGGAGATTAAGTCAAATGATGGTTAAAATATCTTGGATCTAACAATTCAAGAAGATAGGAAATAGTGTTATCTAAGATAATCTGATTAAATTTCCTCTTATAAAGAGATGCATACCAAAATTATCAGTTTTTCTTCAATGTGAAAGAAGGAACCAAATAAAATGTGAAGTATTATAAGGATCAAGAAGAAAAAGATTTGATGCATTTAATGTATCAGTTTTCAAATATGAGTATCAAATGGGCTCTCCTTACTTGCTACAAATAGGTATAATCTGTAATTCCCCTTTCCAAGTTTTTTAAGATTTTATTTATTTGTGTGGCAGAGAGAGACACAGTGAGAGAGGGAACACAAGCAGGGGGAGTGGGAGAGGGAGAAGCAGGCTTCCCGCAGAGCAGGGAGCCCGATGTAGGGCTCCATCCCAGGAGCCGAAGGCAGACGCTTAACGACTGAGCCACCCAGGCACTCCCCTTTCCATATTTTTAAGTGTTAATTATAATAAAGTCTTATTCAAACCAAACAATGTTTCAAAAGCTGTAACATGGGGTGCCCGGATGGCTCAGTCAGTTGAGCCTCCAGCTCTTGGTATCAGCTGGGGTCATGATCTGGGGTGGTGAAATTAAGCCCTGCATGGGGCTCCACACTCACCAGGGAGTCAGCTTGCAGATTCTCTCCCCCTGCCCCTCCCCCCATGCAAGCTCTCTCTCAAATATCTTTAAAAAAAAAAATAAAAGCTGTGGGGCGCCTGAGTGGCTCAGTCGTTAAGCGTCTGCCTTCGGCTCAGGTCATGATCCTAGGGTCCTGGGATCAAGCCCCACATCAGGCTCCCTGCTCAGCGGGAAGCCTGCTTCTCCCTCTCCCACTCCCCCTGCTTGTGTTCCCTCTCTCGCTGTGTCTCTCTCTGTCAAATAAATAAATAAAATCTTAAAAATAAATAAAAGCCGCAACACAACTCTTAAGTAGACTAACATTATTTTCTGATTATACTGAATGATATTCATTGCATTTTATTTCTTTATAAAAGAATATACCTCTGTCTGTACTTCATGGATATGGACTTGGGGGAATGACAACTTTGTTTACATGACACCATACCTTATCTGCCTGGTTAAGGTAGAGGACTGCAAACAGAGAGGATCACTGCAATGCATCAGTAGGGAAGGGCACACAAGGAAATGAACTGAGGTTTGAACTTTGCAAAGTCACAAAGCTACCAAGAACCAAGTTTCAAATCCAGCCCATTTTCTCCCTATTACATTGTACTCCATATTTTTGGAACTAAGCTATTAAGCAGAAGACAGAAAAATTGTGTTTTTCTTCTATTAGCACAGTAAATTCTGACATTATGTTCATTCTATAATTAGTTCCTTAGAAGACAGTAAGTCTATTTTTTAAAAATATGGAATGTACGTATTCAGAATATATTATTGGTTATATGTTGACATATTCTATTTCCATAAACACTATGGAAAATTCTGCAGTTACATATATTCTAGTACTATACTCAAAGCTGCAGTATGATTCAATTAAAAGGTCAGCTCTGACCCCAGGGAACCCAAATTTAAATTATGGTGTACGTAAGCATGCAAGAAGGAATCAAACCTTTTTTTCTTCTTTTTAAAGATTTATTTGAGAGAGAGAGAGAGAGCACAAGCAGGGGGAGTGGCAGCAGGAGAGGGAGAGGAAGAAGCAGGCTCCCCATTGAGCAGGGAGCCAGACTCGGGGCTTGATCCCAGGATCCCAGGATCACGACCTGAGCTGAAGGCAGACGCCTAACAGACTGAGCCACCCAGGTGCCCCAGAATCAAACCTTTTGATATCCTAGTATTTCGGAGGACTAAGTCTCTTTAAGGCTGGATCAAGAACTGGTTGCCAGGAGAGATTTCAGGCCCAACCAAAGAAGTTTTCATTGACTTTCTAAGTCACTTCAGGAAAATACTAGACCACGGCTGGTTTGGAAATAATTTGAATTTACAGCTTGTGTAAGATGAAAGAATTAAATACTGAAAGAATATTCATGAAATATTTTCATATAAATTGGTCATGAAATAGATTTTGTATAGTCAGAATTACAAAGATCAAAATATTGCCACACTATTGACTCGTGAAGAATACTGGAACATCTGCAATATTAAACCAGGAATGTTAAAGACATTAGTGTGAAACTGAAAATATGCAAATTTACACTTTCCTGTTTTAAAAAAAAAAAACTAGGAAAACTCAAATAAAAAAAAGAGTAGGCAACTAAAATCTCCTCCCCTAAAAATATACTTACACTCCAACAAGCATCAGTACGTATCTCTGAACCAAAGTACTAAAAAAAAAAAAAAAAAAACTAAACCACTGGTAGTTCAAAACATATTAGTGTTGAGGGTGTGGCCCAAATACATTAAGTTAAAGAATTGTGGCAGTTGAAAAACTGATAATTCCTAGGGGATATACCACTTTGGAGCCAATCAAAACAAAATAACCCATTTAATAAAAATTCTGCCACAAGGCTCTCGATAGGCAATTTGTCTTTCAGAGTTATTTCAGGAAGGATGGCCCCAATTAGCTATCATTAAAAATAGAGAGGGGTACAGTTCATAGGCCTATTATAACACAAATTCAGAGAAATGTGCTAGTTATCTCTGGGTGAGGACAAAGAAGGAACTGTTTTCCCAGAAGAAACTGTCATGTGCCATTAGTACAACTGACATCACTTACTTTTGATGCAAAATGCAAGTGGCTCTCAAGCTCTTGCGCAGCTCCAAATTGCAACATGTGAACCCCTGGTTTATAGTCAGCTTAAAGATACCCTGAGCACCTGGAGTACGTCTGGATAATATTTATACCAATTTCTTCAAGCCATCATAGTCAAAACCTGATTAGAAAATCCTGGCAGATAGAGTTCAAAGCTTCCAAAACTACTGGCTCTCAGAAACTAGATAATAATCCAAAGTCCCTTTTGATTTCTCTGAACTTATAAAAAGAAAATAAGTACTACAATTTAGCACTTATGTTCTCTAAAAGTACTTAATAGACAAAACAGGCATACCGTCAAAATTCAAAAGGCATAAAATAAAAAGATATAGAGTGGAAAAACATAAGTCCTCCCAGTCACCTAATTCACCTCTCCCTAAGGCAACCAGGTTACCTGTTTTTTCTGTGCAATGAAATTATATATTTAGTTAAATTATGACTTCAACTATTTATTCTTGTTTCATGAGTTTATGTTATTGTCTCAATAGGATTATAAGCTCCCCAAAGGCAGGTATCAGGATCAAGTGTTCTCTATCACTCACAATATCTAATCTAGTGTGAAATATGTGCACAGGGCTTAATATTGGTTGACTCTGCCACCAGGTTACTGGAATTCCAAGAATTCAAATTCTAAGGTTTTACAGTTGAAATACAGAATCTTTATATTGGCTATTAAGGAGCTACATGTGAAAATAATGAGATACTAAACTGCCACCAAAAAGTAGTATTAACAGAGGTGAAAGTTTGGCTAACTAAGCAACATGAGGCACTGTCAATCTCAGTAAACAAGCACACTTGGATTTAGAATCTCTCACTAAACAACTATATATTTTAAGTATTATGGAAGGTTTTGACTTTTACATGTTACATTGTGATTTGATGTTCCAAGGTGAAATGAATAGCATTTTATTTTATTATTTATTTTACACATTTTTATTTTATTTTATTTTATTTATTTTTATTATGTTAGTCACCATACAGTACATCGTTAGTTTTTGATGTGGTGTTCCATGATTCATTATTTGCGTATAACACCCAGTGTGCATTACAACACGTGCCCTCCTTAATACCCATCACCGGGATAACCCATCCTCCCACCCCCCTCCCTTCTGAAACCCTCAGATTGTTTCCCGGAGTCCACAGTCTCTCATGGTTCATCTCCCGCTCTGATTCCCCCACCCCCCGCCCCGCTTCAGTTTTTCCTTCCTTCCCCTAATGTCCTCCATGCTATTCCTTATGTTCTACATATGAGTGAAACCATATGATAATTGTCTTTCTCAGCTTGACTTATTTCACTTAGCATAATCTCCTCCAGTTCCATCCATGTTGATGTAAAAGTTGGGTATTGATCCTTTCTGATGGCTGAGTAATATTCCATTGTATATATGAACCACATCTTCTTTATCCATTCATTCATTGAAGGGCATCTCGGCTCCTTCCCCAATTTGGCTATAGTGGACATTGCTGCTATGAACATTGGGGTGCATGTGCCCCTTCTTTTTCACTACATCTGTATCTTTGGGGTAAATACCCAGTAGTGTATTTGCTGGGTCATAGGGTAGCTGTATTTTTAACTTTTTGAGGAAACTCCATACTGTTTTCCAAAGTGGCTGCACCAATGAACAGTATTTTAAATGATGTTAAGTAAGCAACTTACTCTCCATATTTCCTTTAAACATGTCAAGGAAAACAGCAGGGAAAAAAATGATGAAACTTAAGTTTAAGGTTCAGCTGAAATGCTTTTAGGGGGAATAACATCACAAGGAAGAAGAGGAAGATTTTTTTCAGTTCTTTAATTCTAACACCATGCAAAGATTTTACCTGAGACTTTGAACTATGTTATTCAGGTGAGCCTGATTTACTTTAATTCTCCCAATATCAATTTAAGAAAAGTCTTTATTTGTGGGATGCCTGGGTGCCTCAGTTGGTTAAGCATCTGCTTTCAGCCCAGATCATGATCCCAGAGTTCTGGGATCGAGTCCCGCATCAGTCTCCTTGCTCAGGGGGGAGCCTGCTGCTCCCTCTGCTTGTGCACGTGCGCTCTCTCTCTCTCTCTGACAAATAAATAAATAAAATTTTAAAAAAAGAAGAATCTTTGTGTTTACATCTTAAGAGTCTAGCAGAGAGCAGTAAGAAAAATCAGCTGTGCACATATCATTTTTCTGAGAGCTTTTTAATGATACGGAGTTGGACCAAATCACAGGCCCTCACAGTTTCTCATTTCTGTTCAGAATATTACAGTGGAACAAACAGATCAAGAGTGGTCATGGTTGGGGCGCCTGGGTGGCTCAGTCGTTAAGCGTCTGCCTTCAGCTCCCAGGGTCCTGGGATCGAGCCCCACATCGGGCTCTCTGCTCAGCAGGAAGCCTGCTTCTCCCTCTCCCACTCCCCCTTCTTGGGTTCCCTCTCTGTCTCTGTCAAATAAATAAATAAAATCTTTAAAAAAAAAAAAAAGAGTGGTCATGGTTAATGGGAATGAAAAAATGTGACTAAAACAGCAGGCCTTGGGGGTACTTACCTCCACCATACATGACAGCCAACATGATTGAGGATATCCATGACACTTCACTGGTGGTGGCATTGAATATGCCTTCAATTTCTTTGAAGAACACAGTAATGGATTTGGGAAATGCGTAAGAGAAGCCGATGGAAATGAAAGCTCCAACTACTACTGCCCACCCCCAGCCTCCATCCGGGGGAGTGTATCCAACTGGACCTCCAACTACTGGTGGCATTTTAAGTGTAGATGATTTCCAAAATGCAGTTCAAATCCAAGTATCTGAAGGATATAAAATTAAAATACCATGTCAGTAATAAAGCACTTCCACCCTTTATAGCCACCTCTCAAGTAACTGAATTGTTTCCCAGTATTACTTTTCCAATAGAGATGATCTTCTAAGGACATTATCAGAAAAAGTCTTAGAGCCATGGTATTGCCCATAGTAGCTTAAAGGAAAACAGCTCCATACCATTTAAGGAACCATAACTGACATAAATCCTGTTCAATACATATAGCCTTTGTATTTCAAATAAGCCTACTTGTTTCAGCAGTTAGTATAATTCCTCAAATTACTATGAGTAACTAACTGCCTCATTTGACTTATCTGCTTGCAAAATTCACGTAACACATGCCATATGCAAGTTTCAGGCTTAAACACAGGCTTTATAAGTTTTCCCCCTTTCCCAAAATTTATTCTTCCATACTACTTTCTTTTTACTTTCTCTTATTTATATGTTGACAAAATATTAGGAAGTGGGCACCCGAGTCACTAGATACGTAGCAATTTACAAAACAGATAATTCTGAACATACAAGAATTTCATTTAGTGGGCTGGAAAATTCTCTCAGAAAAGTTTCCTTTTATCGATCTAATTGCTTTGATTCAAGGTATTTTTTTCCATTATACAAAAGAAGGCCCTAAACAACACCTAGTCAATATAGTTAAACTCACAAATTCAACTATGATGTCAAAAGATGGTACTTCAAATAAAAAACTGCCCCTTTTTCTTGAAGTCATCTAGTACTAATGAACAGCATGACGAGAAAATGCAACTTCCTGTTAAATTATGAATAGATGATAGAGTGAGTGTGTGATGGTAGGCTTGCCTGTTTTCTCATGAAGGTCTCCTTTTATTTATTTGAAGCTAACTTCTACCTTATATTATAACTCATCCTGCAACACTATGTTAGTATGTCCATTTCAAATTATCTCCACCCAGATTTATTACAGCAATAAATACTGGTCACAGAGGACAAGTTCACTCTTTGCTACATTCTTTAGTCTAAAATACAAATCCTAGCTTATAGTATAGTAGTAGTATAGTAGTCAACTGGTAAATATTGTTTCTTCCAACCCATTTGGAATTTCAACCCACTTCAAATATGATTTAAGACAATGAATCTTGCAGGGATAGGAAAAAAAAGCCTATAGGGGAAGTTTCCCTAAAAGCAACAGTATAGGTTTCATCACTTCTACTCAAACATGTATGTACTAGAGGTTCTAGCCTCTACTGTGTGCAGCAAGAAAAAAGAAATAAAAGGTATAAAGACTAGAAAGGAAGAAGTTGTCTTTATTCACAGATGACATAACTGTCTATGTAGGCAATGCTAAAGAATATTTAAAAAAAGGTACATGAACTAAAAGTGAAATTTTTTTTTTTTTTAAA